TCTACCAAGGGTGACAAAGTGAAACTCTGTTTCAAAAAAATAAAAAAAGGAAAAAAAAACTTTATCTGTTTTCAGCACAGTGCACCACCACAACAAATGCGTACCAAATGCAGGGCTACCTCTGCTTCAGCATCTCAGAGAGTGATCTTTGGGGGTCTTTGGAATTCTGCTAGGTGCCAGCTTGCTGTCATTTTGTGGCAGAGAGCTGGGGAGGGACTAGTCCTCACTTCAGCCTAAGCTTGCCTCTCACTCAGAGGGGCCTATCCAGTGGTCTGCCATGAGAACTGGAGGCCTTTGTTTAGAACTGTGTTCTTTTTGCCTATTCTCAAAACTCAATGATGGCTTTATCAGAGAACAGGTGAAGGAGTAAAGCATGAGATCTTAGCTTTCTTCATAACTCATTCTTTCTCCCTAACTCTTTTTTCCCATGTTCCAAAATTTTTTTGACACTCTGCCCTGCTATAAGATCCCTTCTCTTGTTTGGCCTGTTGGGTATAACTTTTTTATGCCTCTTCTCACCCAACCCAGCTTTGATTGTGTTTCAAGTGAGCGTTGGCTCTGTAGGGAACCGAGATGCCCTTCTGAGTCTCTGCCCTTTCTGCTTCCTCTCTCTGGAATCCTCTTTCTTCTCTCTTCGTATTAGTGGCTCATTGCCATCCTTCCTATCTCCGCTCAGCCTGTCACCTCCTCAGGGAGTCCTTTCCCAAATGCTTCCCTATGTTCCATTCTCTCTTATTACCATCAAACTTTCTATACCCTTGACCAAGGGCGTGAGTGAGCTTCCCTGTGGAAGCTCTCTCCTGTATAGTGTTTATCACACTTGTGAATTATTTTACTTACTGGTTGGTTTACTCAGGCTCCCATGTGCCCCCAGCAGCATGCTGGCCCATAGCAAATGTTTGTACAACAGAGCAAAGGCAGCAGGGGGGGCTGGCTGGCTATATAGGTGGAATTGAGGGTCTGCTGCCCATGTCCAAGGGCCATGCTTGCAGGAGCTGGGCCAGGGCAGTTGGCATTTGACCAGCCCCTCCCCTTGCCCCATGGCTCCAGACAGATCCTGTGCGGCTGACCCAGCTATACGAGCAGGCTCGGTGGGATCTGCTGCTGGAGGAGATCGACTGCACTGAGGAGGAGATGATGGTGTTTGCAGCCCTGCAGGTGCCAGGCAGGCCTGGGTGTCCTGGGGCGGCTGGGGTGTGGGCTAGACTTAGGTTAGGAAGGGCATTCCAGACTGGGACCAGTCTCTGGGGCAGCTTGGCTTAGGAGCACTACTGGGCGACTGGGCTGCTGGACTCAGCGCTCCCTGGCCACATGCCCCACCCAGTACCACGTCAACAAGCTGTCCCAGAGTGGGGAGGTGGCCGAGCCGGCTGGTGCAGACCCAGGGCTGGACGACCTGGATGCAGCCCTGAGCAACCTGGAGGTGAAGCTGGAGGGGTCTGCGCCCACGGATGTGCTGGTGAGTAGGGACTCGGGAAGGTGCAGGAGTCAGGGCCAAGTGTGGGGGACCCCTCTGACTCTTCTCCTGCCACAGGACAGCCTCACCACCATTCCAGAACTTAAAGACCACCTTCGAATCTTCCGGTGAGTGAGAGGCCAGTCCAGAAAGAGAGGGAGACATGGAAAGAAGGAGGAAGGTGGCCTTTTACAACCCCCCTGCCTGCCCCTCAGACCCCGGAAGCTGACCCTGAAGGGCTACCGCCAGCACTGGGTGGTGTTTAAGGAGACCACACTGTCCTACTACAAGAGCCAGGAAGAGGCCCCAGGGGATCCTATTCAGCAGCTTAACCTCAAGGGTGAGTTAACAGGGGTAGAGGCTGGAGAGGTCCCATGTGGTCCACATACAGGTTGGGCAAGTGAATGCTCTCACCTGGCCTCAGCTTCCTCCTGGGGACCAGAGAAGATGCCCTCTGTCCTGAGGTGGCGTATGGAGTGGCATGCACACAGGGACTGCTAGGGAAGCTCTTCTCCTCTTCAGCTTCTTAGGTTACCCCTTCCTTTCCCTCCAGGCTGTGAGGTGGTCCCTGATGTCAATGTCTCTGGGCAGAAGTTCTGCATCAAACTCCTAGTGCCCTCACCTGAGGGCATGAGTGAGATCTACCTGCGGTGTCAGGATGTGAGAGCCGGGCAGATGCTGGGGCAGGGGCTGGCACCAGGGCTAAAGGTGCATTAATGACAGGGAGGGTGCAGGGCCAGAGCTACTAACACTGCCTTCTCCTCTGTCCCTCCCACCCAGGAGCAGCAGTATGCTCGCTGGATGGCTGGCTGCCGACTGGCCTCCAAGGGGCGCACCATGGCAGATAGCAGCTATGCCAGTGAGGTGCAAGCCATCCTTGCCTTCCTCAGCCTGAAGCGGACAGGTGGTGGAAGCTCTGGCAACCAGCCCCAGGGCCCTGACGCCTCTACTGAAGGCCTCAACCCCTATGGTCTTGTTGCCCCCCGCTTGCAGCGAAAGTTCAAGGCCAAGCAGGTGTCACAGCATTTATCCAGCCACCCTTGACCCTTGGATCTTCACTGAGCCTTCCTTGGGAAAACCACATGCTCACTTGTTCCTTCTCCCTCTGTGTCCCTGAGACTGTGTGACTGGTCCTCACCCTCTGAGAGGGATCACATCCACCTCAGGGTCTGGCTAAGTCCACATTTGCTGAGTGGTGAGAGGTTGCATCTAGTGACCCTGCATGGGACACTGCCCCTTTTGCAGGTTCAGCATCTTGTCTCCCTGACAGGGGCAGGTGGGCCAGGGCATGAAAAGTTGTCTAAGAGAACCTTGGGGGAAGGGAAGAGAGCCAGACAGCACCTCACTAGTGTGGTCCCGCAGCTCACCCCTCGGATCCTGGAAGCCCACCAGAATGTGGCCCAGCTCTCACTGACTGAGGCCCAGCTGCGCTTCATCCAGGCCTGGCAGTCCTTACCTGACTTCGGCATCTCCTATTTCACAGTCAGGTGCGAACCTCAGTCCCTCTCTGCCCCACTGATACTATCTCTGCCCTTATCTGCTGCCCAGGGAGTTTGCACCCCATCCCAAGAGTGGGTCCTAGGCCTCCCTGAAGCCTCCCTTCCCTTATCCTTTGTGGGCAGACTTCACAAAGAGTCTCCCCCTCCGTTCTGTATCCCCACAGCAAACACAAGAGACAGAGCTCAGGCCAGGAAAGCAGGAGACCTAGCTCCCGCCCTCCTATGCTATGGACTATTCATTCTCTGGGCCTGAGTTCACTGGTCTGCAGGACAGAGCTAATGGCAGACACTGCTATAGTGTCTTTGATTCTTCTTCCCCAAACTGCAAAGATATGAGCAAGGCAACAGCTGCCGTTGCTGCTACTGCTGCTATGAAAAACACACAAAAAGTAATTATGCAAAGACATTGATTTGTCTGAGGCTGCTAAATGCTGTTATAATGATTCTATCAATTAACTCCCATTTTCCAGACGAGGAACTTGAGGCCCAGGGAACCTAAATGGCTTGCTCAGGGTCACATAGCTGGTGAGCTACAGAGCTGGCTCATACTCTGTCATGCTGCCTCTGGAGCACTGCACCATGCTCTGGGTGGGCTCTGGACAATGTAGGGTGGAGCCCTTATTCACTGTCTCTCCTCCTGGGGACCAGGTTCAAGGGCAGCAGAAAAGATGAGATCCTGGGCATCGCCAACAACCGACTTATCCGCATCGACTTGGCTGTGGGTGACGTGGTCAAGACCTGGCGCTTCAGCAATATGCGCCAGTGGAATGTCAACTGGGACATCCGGCAGGTGGGCTCAGAGTGGAGGTTGGGATGGGACAAGTGGCTGAGCCAGGTCTAGTCAAGGCAGGGCAGGGCTGTTTTGTTATCCCATCTACCTTATCCTTTCTGACTTCTCATCCTGCAGGTGGCCATTGAGTTTGATGAGCACATCAATGTGGCCTTCAGTTGTGTGTCTGCTAGCTGTCGAATTGTGCATGAGTACATTGGGGGCTACATTTTCCTGTCGACTCGGGAACGGGCCCGTGGGGAGGAGCTGGACGAGGACCTGTTCCTACAACTCACAGGAGGCCATGAGGCTTTCTAAAGGCTGTTCTGCCCCTGCCCTGCTCACCATCTGCCTCAGCCACTCCCAAACCCACACCCACTGGGATTCACTACCCTACACCTGCTCTAGGCAGGCACTGAGCTGGGAACATTCACCTGCTGTCACTGGCTTTGTGCAGGTTCAGGCACCTGGCAGGGCCAAACTCTGCCATCATCCAGGCTGGGAACAGGGGGCCCTGAGCTTGTGCAGCATCCCCCTTCCCTTGTCCGAGGGGCCAAGGCCACCACCCCTGGCCTTTCTCTAGTCCCTGAGCACGCACACAGAAGACAAGATATACTTACAGGATAACAAACCATGGTCTCAAACAAGTTTCTTTCTTATTATTTTTTAAAATATTTTTATAAATTAATATTTTATTGTTGGGTCATCTTTCTTCTTCTGGGGCTGTGCTTGGGGCCCCTCTGACCCTCTGTGTCTTTATCATCAGCCAAGGAGAGGGGCTTTCCTAAGAGAGAGAAAGGGAGACCTAAGTCAGCCTGGTGTTGGAGGCTGGGAAAGAAGCCCAAAAGTCACAGGCTTCAGACACAAAGAATGGGGTGTAGGGGTTTCTCACGGGTAGGGCACAGCTGCAGGGCCTCTTTGAAGTATTTGGGAAGCAGGACACCATCAGCATTCCCTGGAGTCAGGATAACCCCATTGGCAGAGTGGAAGAAGGGTATTCCATCTGTCAATAGGGCTAGATAGGTAACTCATGCCTGCCTTGAAGGCCTAGGGCAGTCCCTGCTGTGGGACTCACCTGCCAGGGCCAGGGGTCCATTGATGAACACAGCTACTTCACAGTTTGGCCGCATGCCTGCAGAGACAACTGGAGCTGGGGCAGGGCACCTGAGACTGCAGTCAGCAAACCTTGGCTGACTGGATAGAAGGTTTTTGTTTGTTTGTTTGTTTTGTTTTGTTTTTATGGTTGGGGCTGGGTTTGAACCCGCCACCTCCGGCGGCATGAGGCCAGCACCCTACTCCTTTGAGCCACAGGTGCCACCCGCCTTGGCTGACTGGAATCCTGGGGTGAGGGACGGGGGATGCTACTTCATGCAGGGCATGGAGGGGCCTCAGATAAGGGAGGCTGTGACCCTTGGAGGGGACCTGGGAGGACATTGTGGGTGGGAGTAACTGGCAGGGGGGCACTGACCACTGATGACACCAGGGTCCCCAGGCAGCCCTGGGGCCAGGTGGATGTGTGTCCTTCCACAGCAGGACAGGCCCTTTAGCAGGATGGATGGCCAGTGTTTCCAGAATGTGCCATGGACTAGCGTCAGGGGCAGGGCTTGTGGTGTCTCTATGGGCATCAGCTCCAGCTCAGGTACCTGGTTAACTGACCAGCAGTGAGACCCCCTTCCACAGGCAGGGGTCCCAGCTGGCTCTCTCACTTGTCTCCTCAGTCCTCACCTGCAGAGAGTGGCCCTGATTGGCCCGGATGAGAGGGCCTGTGCTGGGGTCTCCTGGCTGCAGGGCAAACCGCTGCTTCCCATTAGTGTCCACCACACGCTGCACATCTTCAACTGAGAAGCTATGGAACTGGGGCAGCTGCAGGAGGGCACCCAGGGGCACGAAGCCATCTGTGGGCAGACAGGGTGCTCAGGAGATGATCTTACTCTGGCCTGGGCCAGAGTTAACGGGGAGTGTCACAGGCAATTGGAACAAACCCTGAGCTTGGGATCACATGGGCTTCATCCTTAAAGATCACATGACCTTTAGAAAATCTCCCCTTTCTGGGCCTCAGTGTTTTCTTTTCTTCCTTTTTTTTTTTTTTAGAATTCTGTCACCCTGATAGAGTGCTGTAGCATCATTGCTCAAAGCAACCTCAAACTCTTGGACTCAAGAGATCCTCTTGCAGCTTGGCGCCTATGGTTCAAGTGGCTAATGCGCCAGCCACATACACCTAAGGTGGCAGGTTTGAATCCAGCCCCAGCCCGCCAAAACAACAATGACGGCTGCAACAAAAAAATAGCCGGGTGTTGTGGCGGGCGCCTGTGGTCCCAGCTACTTGGGAGGCTGAGGCAGGAGACTCGCTTGAGTCTCCTTAAAAAAAAAAAAAAAAAAAAAGAGATCCTCTTGCCTCAGTCTCTCAAGTAGCTGGGACCACAGTGCCTGGCTAGTTTTTAAGAGATGGGGTCTCACTCTTACTCAGGCTGGTCTCCAACTCCTGAATCCAAGCAATCTACCTGCCTCGGCTTCCCAAGTGCTAGTATTATAGGCATGAGCCACCCCACCCAGCCCTGTTCTCAGTGTTTTCAACTTACAAGGAAAGTGGACCTGCCTCATGAAGGGTCACAAAGACAAAGGGTTTAGCACAGTACTTGGCCCAGACCAGACACTTGATAACACTGGATGCCAATACCCTCAGTGCATACCATTGGGAAAGTATTGAGCCCCTTGATTACAGGGGACATCACCAGGCTTGGCCCAGACAGGAGCTCTTCTCCCAGTCTGCCATGGGCATGATACAGGGCTTTGGGCCTAGGTCATCGTCGTCGTCTTCTTTTTTTTTTTGAGACAGAGCCTCAAGCTGTCCCCCTGGGTAGAGTGCCATGGCATCACAGCTCACAGCAACCTCCAACTCCTGGGCTCAAGCGAGTCTCCTGCCTCAGCCTCCCAAGTAGCTGGGACCACAGGCACCTGCCATAATGCTCGGCTATTTTTTTGTTGCAGCTGTCATTGTTGTTTTTGGCGGGCCTGGGCCGGATTCGAACCCGCCACCTTAGGTGTATGTGGCTGGTGCCTTAGCCACTTGAGCCACAGGCGCCAAGCCTTTTTTTTTTTTTTTTTTTTTTTTTTTTAATTTAGAGACAGAGTCTCACTTTATCGCCCTCGGTGGAGTGCCATGGTGTCACAGCTCACAGCAACCTCCAACTCCTGGGCTTAGGCGATTCTCTTGCCTCAGCCTCTGGAGTAGCTGGGATTACAGGTGCTCACCACAATGCCCGGCTATTTTTGTTGTTGTTGTTGTTGTTGCAGTTTGGCTGGGGCCAGGTTCGAACTTGCCACCCTTGGTATATGGGGCCAGTGCCCTATCCACTGAGGCACAGGTGCCACCCTGGGCCTAGGTCTTCTCTATGCATAGGGAGGACGTGTGCTGTGTCTTCTTCATGGGGCAGTGACAGGAGCTGTGAGGGAGGGGTTACAGACAAGATCACATTTCTCCCTGGATGCAAACCACTGCTTCAACAGTCTTTAAGTCACTCACTTACCGGCTCCCATGGGAAGTCCCAGCTTCAAGGCCCCATGGCGCAGCACATAGGACAGAGCCTTGGAAAGATGCACATCTCGGTCCTGTAAAAGACCAGAGATGGTTCTGGTCTCCATGGTGACCCCATTCTGCTGCCCCCCCCACTCCCAACCCTGAGAGACCAAAGAGAGGAGTCTCTGTATTACCATCAATTCCCCACCTCCATCTCACTAGCCTTTCCTAGGAAGCCTGGGTGCAGACAGAGAGTCCCCTTTCCTGTCCTCCCACTGTAGGGTAGAAGGGGTCGGTGAGGGGCTCACCTGTTCCCGTCTGTGAACCCTTCTGTCCCTTGGCCCTGCTGCTTCCTGCCTCCTTTCTCCAGAAGAGTTCATGGTCACAACCTGTGTGGAGCAGTGGCCTGTGGGGACTGCCTTAAGGACTCTCCCATGTCCCCACGTCCCCAGAAAGTCACAAAGCCTCAAGATGTGAAAGCTGGGAAGGGGATATAGAGCTTACTAAATTCGCTTTCCACCATGCCCCTACCCACCAAATCCCTAGTGCAGATAGAAAAACTAAGGCCCAGCAGGCAATACTTGACCAAGGTCACACTGTCAGCCACAGAGCCCAGGAAAGCCGAGCTCCTGCGTTCCAGGCTCACGGCTGTGCCCCGCCAAGGCCTGTCTGGGGCGTGCAGACTAACCCAGCGGAAACGTCAGGGCCAGCTGGGTCCCATCAGCAGGCCACACAGACCGCAGCCGGCGCCCGGACTGGCCAATGAGAAGCTACGGAAGAAGGGGCAGGCACTTCCGCTTCAGGAAAGGGGCGGAGCCTGAGGGACGCGACTGCCGGCGAGTTGCAGAGCCTGCGGATGGCTGGAGCTTCCGGACCCTAGGGGGTCCCATCGCGTCCCGAGTTGGAGGCAGGACCTCTGGGTGTGGGGAACATGGGCATTGGGGATGACACCCTGGGATCTCTGGGTGGTTGGGATGCCTGGAGTCCCAGGGATTTCTAGCAGCAGGAGCCCGGGTACCCAGAGGGACTCAGGGCTCTTGTGGAGATGATAGGACACTTTACTACCTAAAGAGTGGTCAGGTGCTGAAAAGGGCTTAGGAAAAAGGGCACAGGGAGCCAGCTGCTGGGCCCAGGGGTAACTGTATTCCGCTCCCCAACAGGGCTGGCTGTGCACTCCCCCAGAGCGGCCTTGACTAGACCATGGACCCTGAGGTATCCCTGCTACTGCAGTGCCCTCCGGGGGGGCTGCCCGAGGACCGGGTACAGGCCGAGATGAACCCAGCCCACAACCGTCGCCCACTGCCAGGTGGGGACAAGGCCATCACTGCTATCTGGGAGACCCGGCTACAGGCCCAACCCTGGCTCTTTGATGCCCCAAAGTTCCGCCTGCACTCAGCCTCCCTGGTGCCCATTGGCTCAGGGGAGCCACAGGTGCTCCTGCGCCTGGGCCTTACTTCCTACAAAGACTTCCTGGGCACCAACTGGGCCACCTCGGCTGCCTGGCTGCGACAGCAGGGTGCTGCTGACTGGGGTGACAGACAAGCCTATCTGGCAGACCCACTCGGGGTGGGTGCTGCACTCGCCACTGCTGATGACTTCCTTGTTTTCCTGCGCCGCTCTCAGCAGGTGGCTGAGGCCCCTGGGTTGGTGGACGTGCCTGGTGGGCACCCTGAGCCTCAGGTGAGGTGCCAGGCTGGGCACAAGTCCCAGACAGCTCAGGGGAGCTTTGGCTTTCAGCCCTCCCAGCTTTGGTTTTCTCACTCTTTAAAGAGAATATTGGCCTGGTGTTTGTCTGAAAGTTTGCTTAGGGCTTCCTCACTGAACCCGGCCCCAGACTTGGGGGAAGCTAGGAAACACAAGGTGGGGAGGGGGAAGGGGGACAAAGGAAGAAGATTACTCACCCTAGCCCCAACCCTGTGTGACCCTTTCCTAGTCAGACCTTTGGTTGTCCAATTAGAAAAGGAAGGCCTGGGTTAGGGTATCACCAAGACTCTTAACACTATGCCCACACCAGATCTTTGGAGCCAGCAAATATAGGGGAACACAGCATGGGAAGAGGTGGGGAACAGGGGCTGAGCCTGACCTCTTACAGGCCCTGTGCCCTGGTGACAGCCCCCAGCACAAGGACTTCCCTGGTGAATTGGTAGTACGTGAGCTCTTCTCCAGTGTCCTGCAGGAGATCTGTGATGAGGTGAGTGAGAGTGACCCAGAGTTGTAGGCATGAACAGAAGGGGTGGAACTTGTCCTAATTCCACAGGTCTGGGCTGGCAGGAGGGTCTGCAGGCATCTGGCTGGCATTAGGGAAGAGCTTGGCTTTGCAGCTAGGCACAATCAGAAGGGAATTCTTGCCCTCAATACTCTATGCCTCAGGTTCTTCCTATCTACAGTGGAGACAATGATAAATGTTTTGCCTGCTTCCCAAGTTTGCTGAAAAAGGAGTAAAAGTCCCAGTTGCTAAACTGACTTTTTAGGCCACCTCGGTAACTTGTTTAATCTCCCTGGTTTCAATTTTCCCATCTGTAAAATATGCCTAAGATCTGACATTCTCTGGTGCTGGGCACTTGATCTACAAACTGGAAAATACTGTTCAAGGATAATGGGCTGTTTTCCATTGAGAGGGGCAGAGATGTAGGCAGTGGGCACTGACGGGTGGGACCTTTGGCCCCAGGTGAACCTGCCACTGCTCACCCTGAGCCAGCCTCTGCTGTTGGGCATTGCACGCAATGAGACCAGTGCTGGCAGAGCCAGTGCAGAGTTCTACGTACAGTGAGTGGGCTCTGGGGTGCATGATCCTGGGGCTTGGGGAGGTGGGTGGTGAGGAATGAGACTGAGAAAGCTGGGCTCCACAGGGTCCCTACAGGGCCTGTTCACCCACCAGGTCACCTTCATGTTCTTGTCCAGATGCAGCCTGACTTCTGAGCAGGTGAGGAAGCATTACCTAAGTGGGGGACCTGAGGCCCATGAATCTACAGGAATCCTCTTTGTGGAGACACAGGTGTGAGGAGGCAAACTGCATCCTGGTTGGACACCAGGGTTGGGATCCACAAAAAGCCTAGTGATGAAGGCCTTAGGGGAGGAAGTGGCTGGGTTGGACAGGGGACTCCCCAGGTTCTCAGAATTTTCTCCAGAGTCATAGACTTGCCTCTTGCCCAAAGGAAGGTCCAGGCATGTTCAGCCCTTTAACATGTCTCCCTAGGGACAGTGCAGTGCAGTGCAGTGCAGAGGGCTCTGAAGCTCAGGAATCCTGGGTCCAGCTCCCACAGAAGATGACATCTGGGTCTCATTGTCTACCCACAGAAGGTGCAGAGATTGCAGGAGACGGAGATGTGGGCTGAGCTGTGCCCCTCCGCCAAAGGCGCTATCCTCCTCTACAACTGGTCCAGGGATGTCACAGCTGAGTGGCTGTAGGGTCTTCAGCCCTACTACCAGCGCTCTGAAGACAATAAAGGACTTTCTTGTTTGATTCCATTGTCATCTGCTATTTCTGTTAAGACAGAGGAGGATGCTGGAGAGTCCTGGGTGTAGGAGGACCAATGACATGAAACATACACACACAGACCTGATATGGCGGCTTACGCCCGTAGTCCTACCAATTAGGTAGGTAGAGGCTGGAGAATCTCTTCAGCCCATGAATTGGAGACCAGCTTGGGAAACATAGTGAGATCCCGTCTCTACAAAAAAATTAAAAACAAAAATAAGGGCGTGATAGTACGTGCCTGTAGTCCCAGCCACTAGGCTGACTAAGGCAGGATGACCGTTTGAGCTTGGGAGTTCGACGTTGCTGTGAGCTATGACGACACCACTGTACTCCAGTCTGAGATGAGAGCTTTGCCTCCCTCGCCAGGATCCAGAAAGGCTCCAGGACGACTATAGGTGGAAGCACCTCTTGAAATGGGCCTTGCTGCAGGGCGGAGCAACAGCCACGTCCGCTGAATGGAGGGATGGAGGCTGGGCCGAAAGCCTCCGTGAACACTCGTTTCAGTTCGGCCGCTTCCAGGTGGGCGCCGGCGAAAGTCTGCAAGTCCGGAGGCATCGGCTTCCGTGGGTGGGTCGAAGGCCAAAAGTTAATAGGTTTGCGGAGGCAAGGTCGTCGCCGCACCTTCCAATCTCTTGGGCGTGGCCTCGGCACCTAAGCCAATGAGGAGTGGGGGCGGGGCTCGGATGGGAGCCGGAAATGGCGGAGTCCGTGGGGGCGGAGCCTGGCTGTGGCTCCTTCTTCACCCGTCCCCCAGTCTCTCTAGGAGAGGAGGAGGGTCGTAGCGTCAAAGACCGGTTATCCAGATGCCGAGGCCACTGTGGCCCCGATGCCCCAGTCAGAGGCAGGGGCGGGTCTAGAATGTGAGGGTCTGGCCCTGAGCAAAAAGGCCGCTGAGGGCCTGCTTCAGTCTTCCTTCACAAGAAAACGGGGCCAAGCCCCTTCCCTCTGCCCTCGAGGTACTTGAAGTCTGGCCCCATCCTGGTCCCAATGCACTTTTGGTGGCCTCCTTTCCCCAGCTGCCCGCCCGCCACCAAGCCCCTCCTGCCGCCGCTGCGCCTATGCCGTCTGTGGCCACGCAGCCCTCCTACTCGGCCCCTTGGAGCGGCTGCCGGGCAGCGGTGAGTTGGGCGCTGGGGGCCGGGTTCGGTGGTTCAGTGGGTTTCTATTGCGGGCTGCTCATGTGCTGAGACAGGTGTGGTTTCTCCTCTGTGTCCCGTGACAAATAGCCTTGTCTCAGGTAACCTTCACCTTCAGGGCTGAGGACACTGAGAATCAGAAGTAAAGACACAATCCCCGTGTCACCCACCGATTTAAGTGGCAGATCAGGAATTTGAGCCCAGGTCAAAATCAATGCTCTTTCCACAACTCTAGTAGTTGTCAAGCATCTCTGCCGTAACTTACTTGGGGGAGGATATGAGTTACAAAAATGCACTTTCCTGGGCCTTGCTCTTGAGGTTCTGAACTGGAGGAAAGAAGTGCGTGGGGCTCCAGAATCTTTTTTTTTTTTTTTTTTTTGGCCAGGGCTGGGTTTCAACCAGCCATCTCTGGCATATGGGGCCTGTACCCTACCCATCTGAGCCACAGGCGCTGCCCGGAATCTGATGCTAGTGGTCTGAGGACTACATTTTGAGGGGTCCTGATCTGTACTATGCCTGAAACACTGGAAAAGAGAGTGGCAGTCTGGAGATATATGTCTTGGGATCCTGTCTCAGCCCTCAGCTCTTGGTGACTGAGTTGAAAGATGTGGCCCAAGGAGGTTGGGTGGGGCATGGCAGGGGTATCCTTTGGGTTGCCTCAACCCCTACAGATTTGGGACTCTCCACAGGTCCAGCCCCAGTAATTATTATGAACTGTTGGGGGTGCATCCTAGTGCCAGCACTGAAGAAGTTAAAAGAGCTTTCTTCACCAAGTCCAAAGAGGTACCATTGCCCCTAAGGTGGGAAGAGGAAATATGAGCCCAAATTCCTAGGAGTAGACTCTTGTCTCTGGCTAGTGCCACTCCCAGCATGCCTAGGGAGTGGGAGGCACTCAGGGGGCAGGGGGTGGCCAGATGGAAGGAAAGGCTGGGGACAGGAGCTGGGCTCTGTTTTCTTGAGGACTCTAGGCCAGAGCATATGGTGAGAACAGGGGTCTAGCAAGTGGGGAAGAAGCAGGGGTCTGTGCTTCCTGACTCTCTGGCCCACTAGAGTGGTAGGCAGGCCTAAGATTGAGGGTCACTAACCAAGCAGGGCCTCTGGGAATGATCAGACCCCTTATGGATGGATGGGTCCTGGGAAAGGGAGATAAGGGGAGTCCTTCCCCACCCCAGCTGCACCCCGACCGGGACCCTGGGAACCCAACCCTGCACAGCCGCTTTGTGGAGCTGAGTGAGGCATACCGTGTACTTAGCCGTGAACAGAGCCGCCGCAGCTATGACCACCAGCTCCGTTCAGCCAGCCCCCCAAAGTCTCCAGGAAACACAGCCCACCCCAAGTCTGCTCGACAAACACACAGGTACAGGAGTTCTGCCCCCAGAATGTCCCCAACCCCAGGTCTCTGGAGGAACCTCAGTCACATACTATCCCTTCCTCTCATTCCTAGCAGTTCCTGGGCACCCCCCAATGCAGAATACTGGGCCCAATTTCATGGCATGAGGCCGCAAGGGCCCAAATCCAGGCAGCAGCAATATAAACACAACCAACGAGTGCTGGGATACTGTCTCCTGCTTATGCTGGCAGGTATGGGCCTGCATTATGTCGCCTTCAGGTACATCCCTGTCCCCCCCCCCCCCCCCCCCCTGGGGTGATGGGCCAGGGGCAGAAGGGTGGGTAAATCCTAGTGTGGTCAGCTATCCATGCCACAACGCCTGGCTATTTTTTTGTTGTGTTTCTCAAGTGAAGAACTGCATAAAACCAGTCTCTGAAGCCTCTCCTTACCTGGTAAAGGCAGCATTACATGAAGGGCTGAAGGGCTGAT